AACATCATGAACCTTATGAAGTGATACCCTTATAGTCATGTTAGACTGATTGAATATGAAGGTCACTATTTGAGTCTTGTCTGGATAAGCTAGTCTGGGACAAAGCCATGTCATCAACTCGAGAGCTGGGGCAGGAACATCAGTGTGAGTTGGCTTCATTCCACCATGTATGATATGAATGCATCACAAGAGAACTCCAGCCCTCAGCCAAAGCTGCATGGAGATCTAACAACTGTTTTTACATGGGGAAAAAGGCCCCCCAACCAGTTGTCACACTTTAGCAGACGTAAAACGTGCTACTGGCATATAATTGCTGTAATTGTATTCTTGCAGAGTCTTCCACTGCTCCAGTAAATGTTGTCTGCTTGCAGGCTCCAGGGATATACTGTAATTCTGGTGTTTTGTCGATGTCCAAATAACCAGTATACCCACTCACTGAGTTAGTAATGTATTTAACTCCATCTAAAGGGTATCCATTAATATTTGAGGCGAGCTCAGTTTGGACAGCCATCTATGAGACGTTCAGAAGTTGAGCACCCATGTAACAAAAGTGGGAATTGAAAAAGGTATGGAAGTAAATACCACTTTCTGAGATTGCTGCAAGCATTTCATCAGTTGAGTTAAAAATCACAGCCACAAAAAATTCTTCACTAACATTTGCTGTGACGGGTATGGTTGCTAAACCATAAGGCACCACATTTATATGGTATTTTCAAACACATTTCAACCACTAGATTTGAAAACTCATGTCACTGTGTCTAAGTTAGTTTCCGATTTACCAAGTAATAATAAACTATGCATGTTTCAGGAGCACTAGAGCACTTTTCAAAATAATATCATGATGACAAAGAAAAATGAACAGGCAGTGTCTCTTTTGATACAATGGTTTTTCATCTGAACAATTGACTTGCCTTTGCAGGCATTTATGATGAAAACCACTTTTGGGGCAGGATAAGTACACCATTTCAGGTACACCTGGTGTCATGGCTATTTGCTAGTGATTCATAAACACTTACTCATGAAAGTTTCAGCATCATACTATTAACTCTGCTTCAAGAAAACCTCCTCCAACAGTGGAAATGGTTTTGGTATTATCAACACAGAACAAAACTCCTTATCTGTAGCTCTTTCCCTCTCTATTTGCTTGTAGTTTAATGCTGCACTCAGCAATATTCAAGCTGTATGGGGGTGGTTTGTCAAAAAACAAATCTAGGCAAGACAATCCAGTGATCAACATCAAGACCATCAATATATGCAATTGAGACAAGATGACATGTCACCCAAGTCTGCAAGTCTGACCATCCAATCCAATCAGTCACCACTTATGACAGGCATTGGTTGCTGAAGACCAGTTCTAACCCGAATCTTCAAGGGTCTTTCCCTGTCTTAGTCTGAATATTGTAACTTGTGACCGGTGAGTAAGTCACAGTATCCCTGTAATTTGGAATGATAGGATTTGATCATAAAATATAAGTTAACAAACAAGATGGACATTGAATGACTTGAGTCGATCTGGTTTTATTAAGAAGACAGGGAAATAGAGAGATTGAATGAATTCCTCAGAAGAAGCTTCACATTAACACACTGTACAAACAATTTATTTAAGAGAAGAAAAACTCTTCATCTGGCACTAGCTGAAAATTCAAGATTAACTTCCATGTCTCTTGTGCATCTAATCCTTCGTAGCTTCAACCCCAGAAAAACATGACCATGAAGACAGTATTTCTCGATGGGTCAAACTTAGTTATCAGTTAAGTGCTATTTTTAGGAGATACTGTGGCTCACAGGGACAATTTTTTTAAAACTGAATAGAATTTATCACGATAACCACGTAGCTTATTCCACAAATGAGTTTGTACACAGCACGAAAACAAGACTAGCTTAAACAGGAGTGAGAGGCAGACTTGTCGCGTGAAAATGGTGAATTGGTTTATTCAGAGTTGCATGGTATTCCTCAATTCCAGAGATGTCCTCTTTTTCTGGTTTGACAGCTTCATTAAAGTAATTGGACAGTGTTATGTAGTGGATGAATGGGGAGACATATCTCGAAAGAGAAAGCCAGACTTAAAAACACAAGGTCTTCAACTGTACTTTTTAGCCTGGTAAGCCAGCCACCATGATAATATATCATTCAAACTGCACAAGTGAACCCAGTCAAGTATTCACCACCCTAGCAAGTGCATATTAACAAGCTTTCAGTTCATCGCTGCACCCATCCACATCATTCAAGAAGGCATGGCTGCTCAACATCACCCTAAATCCATGTCCACAACCTATCATTTCAATCAAATATTTCAGCGTAACATTTAACACACACCCCAACCCATAGCTTCTTCTTCCCTGAAACTTGATTAGTGTCTGACTTTTGCTGCAGATTCTGCATCCTTGAACAAGTTTCAAATAACCTCTGTGTTTTTGCTCCAAGTAACATTACCAATAATGCCCTTTAATTAATACAATTCTGCTACTTGATGGTGATGACTATTCTATATCATCCATATCTAAGTCAAACTCTGGCAAATATCTGCCGTAACATCCTAGTGAACAATTGCATTCTGTGGATGGAGCTATTTCACACCCCTTTCTTCCACAAACTGTATTGTTAGGGATGAAAGAGTAATAGAGATGAAATATTGCCATGCTCTGCACAAAAAAGGATGTAGAGATACAGTTTTGACACAACTGGGAAACAGATCACTCCTTTAATCAATTCCAAGTTTTGCTGGTTTCCATGGTAAAGGCAGATTAATCAGAAAAATGAACAACCTCACCACTAGCATAACATGTATTCCATTGTTTCACGGAGAAATACTGAATGGATTTGGAGTTATGCTGAGTATACAACATCATTACTGGCAGACATGTCTGCTGCTGATCCATATCTCCGCCCACACACGATAAGCCAGGGAGCTCTCGTTCAACAGTGTATCATCATTATCAACAAAACAATACCATAAGCAATTTGCTTCCGTCCATATTGATCAACACACAGCTTCATTCTGGAGCAACATGTACATTACATTCATAACATGAACAATGCATTGCGATGCATGTCATGTTATGGCTTCTGACTTTGGTGCACTGTTACAGTTTGGAATGTGTAATATTTGCTTAGCACGGGTCATCTTTGGTAGAAATGGTTATCTCTGTTATTGTGATTTAGTTGGTTGTTTTGTTGTTTAACGCGGCACTCAACAATATTCCAGCTATATGGTGGCGGTCTGTAAATAATTGAGTCTGGACCACACAATTCAGTGCTCAACAGCTTGAGCATCGATCTACATAATTTGGAAATGATGACATGTGTCAACCAAGTCAGCGACAGGAGACTGGATGATGACGTTTGTGTTATTAACATTCATTCACCAATACTCAGTTACATGAAAACACCATGTAATTGATTGAATTATGTCAAGGCTTCAATGTCTGATGTATTATGTCAAGGCTTCAATGTTTGATGCATCATGTCAAGGCTTCAATGTTTGATGCATCATGTCAAGGCTTCAATGTTTGATGCATCATGTCAAGGCTTCAATGTTTGATGCATCATGTCAAGGCTTCAATGTCTGATGCATTATGTCAAGGCTTCAATGTCTGATGCATCATGTCAAGGCTTCAATGTTTGATGCATCATGTCAAGGCTTCAATGAGAAAGTAAGAATATTTATGGATAACAACTTCTTTATTATATATGATGCGACGTTTCGGTATGGATTCTTATACCGTTGTCAAGCAAGAGTGAAGTACTACAGCACAGACCAGGCTTATATACATGAACAGGGATTAAGTAATAACAACATGTAGGACTGAATGAGGGGGATTAACAATAACAACAAGGCACGGTGGCAATAATGTAGTGACAATAGGAAGCCAATGGTGGTTGATGTAAAAAACAAAATATACATGCTGATGAGATAAATTAACAATGATGGCTGAGGTGCTCTAATCTGTTGTTTTTATGAGATCATTGTATGCAGAAGGGATGAGATATCCCTGGTCTTCTGTTGATTGAGGGCTTGTGTCTCGCTTCTGCAAGTTTCCTTTTGGTGAAGTCCTGGTGGTTTTTGGATAATATGTCCACATTGTCCCAAATTATGTTGTGATTGGGGCAGTTGATGATGTGGTCTGATAATGCCGATTTTCTATCAGATTTAGTGGTAGATGATAAGTGTTCTTTGATTCGGATATTTATGGGCGGGGAGGTTTAAGCCACATAGGCCTCATACAGTCACAGTTGATTTTATAGACAACACCTTTGGGTTGATGTTGTCGTTTAGAGGTGTTCCTGCCATTCGCCAGTAGGGTTTTAGTGGTGTAGAGCTGGTAAAGTAGGTTTCGATGCGCTTCTTGCTTTGAGCGAGGCGGCTGATGTGGTGAGAGGTTTTCCCTATTCGTATCTCCTCCCCTTCATAGGAAAAACCTCTCACCACATCAGCCGCCTCCTCGCCGGTGAAGCAGGCATCGAAAACCTACTTTACCAGCTCTACACCACTAAAACCCTACTGAAAGCTTAATGGCAGGTTTCAATGTTTGATGCATCATGTCAAGGCTTCAATGTTTGATGCATCATGTCAAGGCTTCAATGTTTGATGCATCATGTCAAACCACCATTGGCTTCAATGTTTGATGCATTATGTCAAGGCTTCAATGTTTGATTTATGTCAGTATTTCTCACTCTTGCTTGACAACGTATAAGATCCATACCTAAACGGTCATTATAAATAAAGAAGTTGTTATCCATAAATATTCTGCCATGTGGTGCCTTGCCAGATCCATGGACTTGATGTCAAATGGATGCATCATGTCCTCATTTTGATGCCTCAAAATGTGATGCATTATGCAAGGCTTCGACAGTCGCAAATCCCATACTTCAACATAGACTTACAAATGTCCTAGCGCTACAATCGCTTTGACGAACAGGGCCCAGTTCATTATGTCAAGGCTTAGGTATATATATCAGCTATGATTACAAACGTGCTTCAGCATGGCAAGTTACTGACCTTGTGTGTATATTGAGGCTCTGTCAATGCCTCCATCCTCTTCTCGGAGGAAGCGCAGGAAATCCCCCACTGTGTGGGTGATGGGCTTGAGGGTGAATTCACAGGTCTCCCTACGAGACGGTAAAGGCACTGAGAGGACTGGAAGGCCGTCAGAGTACTTGACAGTTACATCTGGAAAAGACAATATCACCGTATCAATGGGGAATCAAATCTGCAGTATTAGCATGAGCACATGCTAAAAATCCTGGCCTTAGTAACCCCCTTTTGTCTTTTGACAAAGGTGAGTGAGTATGATTTTACGCCGCTTTTATCAATATTCCAGCAATATCATGAGGGGAATACAAGAAATGAGCTTCACACATTGTACCCATGTGGGGAATCGATTGTAGGTCTTCTGCGTGATGAACAGACCCACTGCCCCATTTGACAAAAGAATTAGTTCACAAATCCAAGGCCAGCAGTAGAAACTTGATAGACATAGCTCTTACCAACAAATTGCAGTGCCTCACTGTCATTCATATTCATCAACCCTTGTTCTCAAGATCACAACAATTATTCTGTTCAGCACGCACAGTAAATAAAAAAGAGTTAAGATTCAACAAAAGTTTTGCATTATGCTACAACAGCATGTATATTGTTTCCTTTGCACTGAAACACATTATCGTGTTTGTATACTCTCAGGCAAACTTTTACAATTAGGTTGTCACTATCAATTATCACTCTGTAAGTCCCTGCATAATTCAACAAGACCCGGTGTGATAGAGGCAAGAACACATTACAGGAGAACACATAAACTCTTTCAATGGCAATACACGACACATAAATCAATATATCTCAAATAAAAGACACAACGACATCCACTTAGGATTCAATTTCAAGTTTAAATATCGTGGGATTCTAGGCCTGTATAATATCATTGATTACTATTCATAAAGACCTTCAGCTATGATATGACAAATGACAAAGCAGTTGGTTCTTTCTTCAACTTCACTGACCAAGAGACCATCTTAGTTCCACCTTAGGTTAACAAAAAAATGTCTAAAATAACACAAGATAATGAAGATTGTTGAAAAAAGATAATATCAGACAAAATAAAAACATTTTACATTCACTTTCAGCTTCAAGCAAATCAAGGCTTAAGCAAACACTTTTTTTTAAACATAGCCTCTTTAAAATTTACTTAAACATCAATTCATAATGTATCTCATTTTCGAATAAACTAACAAAATCTTGAGAAACAATTAAATATCCATAACGACCTAATTGTGACATCTATCTCTTTATACACACATCTATTAGCTGTTTTGCACTGCAAGAAATGTATTGCTCCGATCACCCAAGAGATCAGTGAAATAACACTAATATTCAGGATTAATAGAACGCCACAGTCAATTCCAGTTTTCATTCCTTCCCAAGACAGTCTCAAAATAGTGAATAAATGTGTCTCCGGATTCCTAAGGCAGTGAACCTGCCCTTCTTCCAGCTATCTGGTAAGAGGATCGCGTTGCAGCAGAATTAAAGAAATTATATTACAAGCAAGCTTTTCTTAAGTCACGAAGCTGCGCTGTTCATCTAAAAAGAGATTCTGGTTCTTTTCAGTCCTGCATACAAATGCCCTTATTTGTTACCTTGATTGGAACAATATCACAGCATTTATTGAGATAGCAACATAACTATCTAGAATTCCTATTATGAAAGTACATTGTCCATATCTCATTCTCCATAAATCGCATTCGAAGCATTAAGCTCATACATAAGCCTAAATCTGTAACTCAATAATTAGATATTAATCTGTTAAAAATAGATCTCTCTTGTTCTAAAGCTAAAGTAGAACATTTAGAATGCCTCATTGGAAAGAACTGCATTATTAAGTAAAAACCCACTTGAATATTATTTGTTTGATCTGATGATAAAAAAAGCTTCAACTACGTACCAAGGCTGACTGAGTAATGTTCGAGACTACCAGGATGTCGAAGAAAGGGAGTTTGTTATCAGATTCTTCTTCCTGGTACAGAAACAAGAAAACAAGCTCTCCACCACTGTCTACAGGAAACCCACTCATACCGACCAATATCTCCACTTCACCTCCAATCACCCTCTGCAGGTTAAGAAAGGCATCATTTCCACCCTTACCCGAAAAGCCAAGAACAACTGCTCAACAACACAAGCCCTACATATCGAACTCAACCACCTCCGCCATGTCTTCATTCATTATAACAAGTATCCCCAGAAGTCAGTTAACGTCATCAGATCCACCCTCAACCCAAGAGATAAATCACCCCGTCGGCAACCAGGACCCTTCGTAATAAGTATCCCGTATGCCCCAGTAGTCAGCCACCAGATAAGACGACTACTTCAGCCGCAAGCGGGTATAGACGTTCTGTTCCAGAAAGGCAAATCCATCCAAAACCTCCTCCAAGCCACAGGCAAATCCCCATCAACAACCAAAGAAGACCCCACAGGAGTAGTCTACCAGATCAATTGCCAATGTGGAGACTCTTATAGAGGTGAAACGTCCCGCCCTCTCCCACTACGAATTAAAGAACAGAAAACTTCAGTCCAGAAAAAAGACTCCAAATCCGCCATAGCCGACCACACCCAAGCCAACCCTGACCATGCCATCCTTTGGGACAACATCCACATCCTGGAAACCAACCGATCAGACTACAAGATTAACAAACTTCATGAAGCCATAAAAATCCAACGCTTCAACCCCACCATGAACCGGGATTAAGGTTATTTTATCTCTTCAGCCTATCACCACCTAATTAAAGATCACCAGTAATCCACCCATACCTCGTCCAACTGGATTCTATGCCCCTCTTTTGTGTATTGTAATCACAACCAGTCAATGAGTACATCAACCTACTCTCTCCAACTCACATTACCATCTCAGTGTACATCAACTCATCTATTGTATAAACTCATTCTGCATATTGTTTTATCATTATCACTCTGTACATCAACCTACTCTGCTCAAATCACTAATTAGCAATCCAATGTATATCAACCTTGTCAATTGTATATACTCACTATGCAGCTATGTATATATTCTCCATGTTACAACTCTATGTATCACTTGCTTGATAACGGTGTTAGTACCTACATCGAAACATCGCACCCATTGCAATAAAGAAGTTGTCTATCCATAGAACTTGGTTTTCCTGTACCCGATCCTGTTAGTCGCCTCTTATGACTGACTGACTGAGTTTGGTTTTACGCCCGCTTTTAGCAATATTCCAGCAATATCACGGCGGGGAACACCAGAAATGGGCTTCACTCATTGTACCCATGTGGGGATTCGAACCCGGGTCTTCGGCGTGACGAGCCAACACTTTAACCACTAGACTACCCCACCGCCCCAGTCGCCTCTTATGACAAGCATGGGTTGCTAAAGATTAATTCTAGCCCGGATATTCACGGGTTGTTGCGCAAGATGAACACGTGATATCAGCAGCCCCATTTTCATGTAATGCAGCTAGTTAGACTTAAATTGGGTGTTAGGGCCCAACCCAGGATATGCCATGCATTCAAAAGAATCGAAACTACAAGCTGAATCTAACCTGCTATAGGGTTCTAATGATGCCAAATCAGCAAGTTTTCTAAAAGTCAGTATTAATAATAAAAGCATCTTGAGTAGTGAAGTTTAAAAAACCATAAGTGTTAGAATATCACCTGCAGCACCTTAGGAAGTGTTTTTAAATTAAGACCAACATCAAATTTCGTTGAAACAAACTCTGCGAACTGAAAACCACAACATACAACCTCCGGGAACAACTTGCAATTTCTGTGATAATTCCAGCCTGACTTGATGTGTAATCACAACATAAACCGAATTACGGACAGCAACTCAAGTAAGTAACAGCATTTATTCAATCTAACAAAAATAGCATGATGGCAGTGTTCATCATTAATGCATGGTGAGGCTGACCTGTCAGAGAGTAGACCTTAGAGGTGTTGTTCTAGCGATGACAACCTTGGGTGCCAGTCATGCACGAACTTCATCCTTTCCTCAACAAGCATGTACCTCAGTCATAAAAGTCCATGTATCTACCACAATGTATGTCAGATATCTGAGTGCCCTCTGTGCCTAGGTATAGATTTGTCCCAGTAACAGACAGATTAATTTACTTCCCACTAGTCAGACTGGGTGTCTAATGGTCTTGTGGCCAAGATTCCACGGCCATCAGCATCTCTGAGGAATGGCCTCGATTACTGACATCAATTGAACCTGAATGGCCCACGCCATATAACAGGAGTGGTGTCGTCTGATGCTTTATAGCCAACTGTGTACAGAACATCAAGTTCACAATGTGTGTCACGATAACAGAACAGCATCAAACGATCAGAGTTATAGAAATAAAAAAATCCTGTTCAATATAACTCCATGGTTGGATGGTCAGAGGACTAAGGTGAGAAAGTGCATGTGTGCAAACGCACATGCATACATTCTGGTGTTGACTTAAGCTGTGTTATAATGCTAGCCCAATGAGATACCAACCAGCAGTTTAACATAAAAACACTTGCACCTGCTGCAGTTTAACTCTTCACTTAGGTGGCGTTTATATCAAACCATACTTCTCAAAAAATAAATAATGCATTTCTCTCAATAATACTAACTATCAGCCCTCAGGGAAGCTACCATATAATCTATTCCAAAAGAAATTACGCATTTAGATTACAATATTAAATTAAAAAGTTCAAATGAATTAATGCAATGTTGCATTAAATTGACTCTCGCACCCTCTACCAGCTGAAAATTATTTCAAGCGAACCCCATAGAGTTATGCTCTTTGAGCATTCTTTACGAATATCCTATGCACAACTTGTGATTGACACCAATGCCGCAAACACTGACAACACTGTGTGCGACAGTTTTTGATGCACGGAGCAATAGTTACATACAATATATGGAAAGCGTTCTCTGTTTGGAAGCTGTTCGGCTTCGAGGTTTCAATTATCAATTTCGAGCACGTCATAAGGGATAATATGTCTTTTATTGCATCAATAGGAAGCTAAACTGAGTGCATATGCCCTGATATATATAATATAGGCCAAAATATTGTCAAAAATGTGTGACATTGTGCATTAAAGTATTAATACGTAATGCACTTAAGATATTCAGCTTGATTCCAAGAAACAAACAGTAATAATAATAATAATAATAAATA